TCGTTTGTCCGTCCCACTCTTCTCTCTCTCTCTCTCTCTCTCTCTGTCTCCCCCTCCTCTCCATATGCTCCAAGCCTTACTACCATTCAATACGATAGCCTCGGCTCTGTCGCACGTTCTGTTTCTCGTGTGCAGGTGACTCAGAAGCCACGGGAGCCGGTTGCCAACGCCGATGTGTCCTCACGCTTCAAAGGACAGGCAGCTCTTAACTTACAGCAAGAAGTGACCGTCGCAGTCACCAACAACAACAACAGCAGCTCCACCACCCCACCAGAGCCACCAGGGACAAGTTGTAGAGCCGGGGGCTGTTCGTGGTACCGTTGCAAGTACGATGTATCTGCCACAGCACCATCACCGAAGAAGTCATGGCCGCTACTCCCTCCGCCACCACTACTAGTAGAAACAACCAGCATCTGCCAGGCTTGAAATACCACGCAGCCACATGCTCTTGTTGCTGCCGAGACTGCTCTGTAAACCATCGCCGACAGGAGGTGGCCGTCGGAGAGCACCTTCCGATGATTCTTCTGACTGTGGTGACCTGCCCGAAAGCAATTCAGTCAGTCCAAGTCTTGGCGCATGTGGTTTCTGGGACGCTGCGCTCCCAAAATCGGCGTCGGCCTTCAGGCACCCTTCCCTCCTTCTCGGACAATTTGTCACTAGGCCGGTCTCCGAACTTGCAATGGCAGTCCGGATGAGAAGCTTGCTTGACCGCTGGACTCGGATTTTTTCATGGAGACCAGCAGACCCGAACTGATTGCATTTCTGACAGCAGGTGCCTTTGAGTTTGTCGTCGATGTCGAAGAGGCCGTGTTGGTGCTAGCTGCTAGCTCTGACACTGAGTGTAGGCTTTCAGTGGGTATTCAGCCTTGCGCATCTCGCAGGGGAGTGCGATGTACCTTTTCTCTGATCCTCGGGAGCGCCAGGAGAAGCCACCGGCCAAGGAGCCTCAGCTCTTGGAGAAGGTGCCGCGCGCGAAACGCCCCCACTGCCTCCTTCAAGGGGTCTTGGGATGTTGACCTTTGCTTGACCTTGGCTCTGTTTCTTGGAGCGAGAGTCAGAAACTCTTGCCGCCACCTTGATTTTGTGAAGACGCCCGAACACCTTGGAAACAACGAGCGAGTACCGCATTGCGAGAGCAACGCGAGAGAACTCTTGAGTTGCAGACGAAAGTTGCGCCGAGAGACAGTTCGGAAAGATTAAGAAGTGCATAGCTGACTTGAGGTCGGCTAAAGGTGTTGGTGATGAGATTTTCCACGGTCGCCTCTGCATTTTCTGAGACCCAGCGGAGGCCGCGCCTGTGCCGAAGGCGAAGCCAAAGATCAGCCCGAAGATGTCGCCGGCCGCGCCGCTGCGCCGCTTCTGCCTGCACCTAGCCACTGATACTTGAGAACCCAGAATCCAGCCGGTGGCAATTACGTAGAAGCTTGGCTTTGGGTGTAAAAGCTGGAATCGTGAGAAGGTGGAAGCTTCGTCAACCATTGCCGAGGTCCAGCAGACAGGAAATTGGAGTCCGAGTCTTGGAGCGGCTTCAGCACAGAGCAGACTTGACCTTGAGCTCGGATTCAAGCAACGGCCGACCATGTTCGTGGGATGCCGCAGATGAATGCGACGATAGCCCTGACGAGTTTTCGGAGCAGTTTCGGAATTCCGCCGCAGCTGTTCGGGCTCATCTGTGCAGCTCGCGCCGGCCAGCACCCGCTCAATGGCGGTGCTTGCTGGAGCGCATGAAGAAACCACACAATTCCAGGAGTGAGGAAGCTTTTTTTTCACAGAAGCTTCCTGGGCAGGTGGATGAGAAGCGCAACCTTGGCAAGTCAAAGGATCGGAAGGGGCTGCATAGTTCGCGGAAACTGCTTCCCAAGTTGAAGGGAGCAGGCGATGCCTGCGCCGAGTCAACTTCTTCCTTGCCGGGGACCAGCCGGAGCTGCGGCACAGGCTCCAGAGGATTCGAGGAGGCTCGGCCGAGACCGTCTCCAAAGGCGAAATCCAGGGAAGGCAAGGAAGGCAAGGAAGGCAGACAGCCCAGCCGAGATGCATCGGCGCCGGCCACTCGCAGCCGACCTCATAAGGAGCCCAACCAGACAGCCGAAAAGCCGCCTCGCAGGCGGCTACCGCCGAAGCCGGCAGAGGCGAAGCCGGCAGAGGGGAAGCCCCGCCCGGAAAAGCCCGACAGCTCTGACGAGGCGCGCGACCAGGCGCGGAACCAGGCGAGCGAGGCAAAGAAGGCGATTCCGAAACCTGCACAGCCGGCGAGCACAGCTTCCTTTTCGTCGGCACTGTCGGGCCTTGGTGATGACTCAGAGCCAGAACGAGACGGCTCGATGCCTGCTTCCCCCAAATCCGTTCAGGGCGGAACCTGGACATGCAAGAAGAAATTTTTAAGCTCTTTGTTTGTGGTAAGGATCGCCCCCGCCAGAAATCAGAAAGTGCCGGCAGTTCCCGTCACGTCCCCTGTCGGAGGCTACGCTCCAGAGACTCCGATGAGCACCAGCGCGGGCCAGGCCGCGAGCACCGTGAAGCCGCCACCCCTCGACTCAGCCTCGAGGATGAAATCTCACGGGAGACATAAGCCTGCTTTCAAGCACATAGCTGCGGGCTCCGATTGTTGTGGTAATTACAAAACACGCCTTGAGCCTTGAGCTGTGAAGAGAATTGCATGGAATTTGTCCCGAACGAGGCTGATGCTGCCGAGACAAGGCGGCAGATGCGTGAGGTTCTTCAGCGCCGACTGCACCGGATACGCGAAAAGGTGCAGAACCAACGCGCAGGGATCGACGCTCAAAAGTTTCTCGCCAGATGGCAGTCGAGTTTTAACTCTTTTTCTGTATGTGATATACCAATTGATGTAGAGTCCAGCGTGTGTGTCTCTCTCTCTCTCTCTGTGTCGTCTTTGAGTCCACAATGCATGTAGTCAGACGTGCATTTCGAGGAAATATGAGCACCTCCCCGGCAAGGAGCGTGAGGCGGTGGAACGCGCGTTTTTCCATTATGATGCCGACCTTTCTGGATATCTCGATTACGACGAGATCGTGCCAGCTCTGCGAGTCACTTGGGTCCAAGCACAGAGCTTGCTTCGGTTCTGGTCTTGCTCTGTCTCTGTGGTCATGTATCAACCACCAGATGGCCGTTTGAGGAATTAGGGCTCTCCGGATCGAACGCGATCGAGAAGAGAGCCGCCTTGCCTTCATTGACGGGTTCGTTGCAGCCGCCAAACGCTTTGATGCTTCTAAGCGCATGCTTCCCATCATTTACGCGGTGCTCAGATGTGCGTTGCAAGTGGAAGCTAAGGAGATCATGCAGGTTTGTCGCAATGTCATGACAGCCACGCGCGTACAGTCTCTTCATCGGAAGCAAGCGGATAGTCTGCAGCAGGCTTGCAGCACTCGCATGACCGCTCGGTGCAGTTGAGTCAGCATCTCCACACGCCCTGCAGGTGCTGAATGCGCAGCGTTCCCGGATGCAGGGCCAGCCGCGGATTAAACTTGAAGTCAAAAAAGCAGCGGCGCCGCAGAAGTCTCCGAAAGCAGGAGCGCAGTTGAGCGCGTTCAACATCTGGCTGAGGTTTCCCTTGTCCGAGGGCCAGCTACAGTACCTGCTGTTCAACTTTATAGGCGTAGTCTTTCGGATCCAGTGACTGCAGCTGCGGGCAGGAGATGCAAAGCAGGCGCGTGGCGCCACTTGCCCGCCTGACGGAAGTCTCGTAGTCGTCTACGGCGATTTCAGGTTTCGCGCAAGGCTTCCACCGTGCAGTTTGCGCAGTGACAAAGTGACAGTCTTCCCGTCCCACTGAGGATGGGAAGAGAGCCTCGGGGAGCCGCCGAAGCAGCTTTGCTTCATCCCAGGGCACCGTCTCCGACGAGTCTGGCAGCGAGGACTTCGAGGTCGGGGTGGACTCCCCGGGAGAGGACATGCGTTTCGACTTCATGACCTTCGCTGCCATCTTGGTGCCGAAAGTTCGTCAGCGCCTGACGGAGCTGCAAAGCACAACAGCGGCTCTTGCGAGAGATAGAAAGTTTTTCAAATGCTTTTTAGGATCGATGGCTGTGTTTGCAAAGGCCCACCCCCTAACAAAATGCCTTTGGGGGGGTAGTGACTCTCAGCCCGGCACATTATAGGGACTCTCCCGGGCTCATTTCTGTGAGAGTGGGGTGGTGGGGTTGGAAATCAGCCCCGCTCTTGACATCATGTGGCAGCTTCCTGCTCCGTAGCTTTTGCGAACTGCTGGCTGACACATGTTTCATCAAGTTTCGGATGTGATAGGCGAACATAGGCGATAGATACCTTCCCAACTCGGCAGGAAGGATATCAGCAGCATTGCATTCCAGGGCTTTGCACTCCATATCACTATAGTATGTGCATCATTTAGCTATGGCTCCGGGGGCAGTGCTCTAAGCTGTAAAGTAATGGGCTCTCGGAACCAAACAGACATCAACAACCGAAGCTGGCAATGCCGGCAATAAATGAACAACTACATACAAATACGTAGGCTACACGTTTTGGTGTGTTCAGAGCTTGCTACAATGGTTTGGAGCCTCCCAGCCAACAGATGCGCAACAGTTCAGGACCTGCGAAAACCAACACATCCAGCAGCTGTCGTGTCGAAGCCAAATAGCATACATTCGTTATCGGTGTCGTGCGGCACTGCATGGTGGGGCTTCGCGATTAAGTTTGCCATAGTTGCTGCGTCAGCGCCCAGTCGCACCGATTGCTGCCAAGGTCATGCGATATTTCTGCAATTTCGATAGGGAGGGAACCGGCGCGATATCGGTGTTAAAGTGCTTGGAGATAGCGCGTTGCCTGAAAATGGACCAGCTGCACATGTTGGATGCGTTGAAGGATAGCGATTTCTCGGTGGAATCTGACACCTTGGTCGACTTTGATGCGTTCGAGCATTGTGTAATGGGCTGCCGAGAGCGAACAAATCGCCAACTGCGGCAGCGCGAGATCGAGATTCTTGTCGAGATGAGGGTGCGGTCTGATCTCTTCCAAGAGTGCAGGGAGAGCATCCCCCAGATCTACGAGGTCTTTCGACGACTGTCTGGGGATGTTGGGCCAATTGGCGTCGTTTCTGCAAATGAGGCCTTCCTTGCCGTGTATGAGCTTGGTATGATGCCACGGGAGCAGTGGCAGAAAGAGGAGATCAAGCAGTTCCTGGTTCCGGTAGATTCGGAAGACCATGTGTATGCTCAGACAGAATTGAATTTCGAGGATTTTCTGACATTCCTGAGGCCGGTTCTTTTCGATGGAAGGGGGTCCCACTGTGCACTCGTAGTTCGCTTGAGAATCATTGCAGCTGTTACACAGGAATGTGCGGACTTTCAACGACGAGCAGCGTCTCACGGAGCTGACTGAGCATTTCGCACGGCTTGACAAGGCAGCCGGCTAGCCACACACTGCGAAGTGTAAGGTCGCACTAGTGTCGCTCGTCTGCCTGCCGAGGATGGGAACGGCCACTTGGACATGAAAGAGCTCAACCAATTGCTGGAGGATCGGGGGCACGCAGAGGGATTCCTGTGGCCTGGTGACATGTCTGCAGTCTGCGCAACAGTCTGTTATCCACCCTCTCAAAAGTAGCAGATACGCACACACGCACACTGTCTGTTCTGGTCCCATCCTTCCTGTCAAGTTCCCTTCCTCCTTCCTTTCAAGTTCCCTTCCGCACACATGCTTCTCCCTCCCCATGGCTCTTCTCTCTCTCTCTCTCTCCCTCTCTCTCTCTCTCTCTCCCTCTCTCTCTCTCTCTCTCTCTCTCTCCCTCTCTCTCTCTCTTTGCCCCTCTCTTTCTGGCTTACTGTCTCTCAATCTCACGGATGATTTGCTTCACCATGAAACTGAACGTCCACTTGACCAACGCACTCAGCTCCCTCCGCCATCCTGTTTTTTTCGATGCCCGGGGCCTTCGACCGAAGTCGGAATGTCCCGAATGACGCGGCGACAAGCACCCTTTACCGTGGACAGCCGGACAGCTTGGTAAGTGGCTTGGAGAAAGTACGCCTCACCAGGCACCTGAAGGGATCATCACGTCACCGTGCTTTGGAGGCTTTTGTATTGGTTCGGCTAGTGGCTGGTACTAGTGGTAGCATGGAGATCCTGTAGCAGAGGGTCCGTTGTGAGCAATATCCCTTGGCTCGGAGTGCTGCACGCTGCTTTTGTCAGCGCAGGCCCTTAAGAGACATGCTCACTCTGCTTGATTGTCCCTCCACCTGCTCGCATGCCTTTTCTTGCGTGTGCAGGAGACCGGCTGCTGTCCACGCAGTCGCCTCTGGGTGTGCATTCAGCAGCTCTAACGGCGACAGTAGGTCCAGATGAACTCTGATGGAAGGCAAAGAGCAGGAGGAGGTACGCCAGCTGATCCAGTCTACGGATGTGGATGGAAATGGCGTCTCTTGGAGCAAACTGTCCTAGCAGTGCCGCTGGTGCTTGCAGATTGCCATGCGGTCGCTTTCCCGACTACTGAGGTTATTGACTTCGGGGAGTTTAAGGCCCCGCACCGTAGAGAGGGTTCCAAGGACGTGGAACATGTCAGTCGGGAAAACAAGCAGTAGTGACAGGAGCTGGTGCAAAGAATTGAAGAGCGTTTCGCCAGCCTACGCAGCTAGGCTGATTCACAGATCTCAGACGCATGTGCGGGTGCAGATGCATGGAGACAAGATGTGTGGTGAAGTAGAAGTCATATGAAGCAGGCGCAACATCCGGTATTAACTACTTGTGTCAACTCACAGCAAAAGCTCAGGCTACGAGTCCGAAGTTGAGCTGCTTGTCATTGCAGAAGCGAGCTGCTTCTGTGTCGTTGCAGATATTGTCTGTGTTGCGATTACGATTGGCAGCCTGATCTAAGTTACGCTGTGGCCCGGGGCTTCACTGAAGTCGAACTTGGCTCCTTGGCTGCCGGAAGTTTGTGAGTGGGCCATGCCAGAAGGTGGTTGTCGGCAGCGCGAGAGCCGAGTATGCAGACACGTCCAGATCAGGGAACTTCCGTGCCATTTTCGAGCACTTGGATGTGGACAACTCCGGCCGATTGGAAATGAACGAGGCGGTGGAGGGCAGACACGGACAAGTGGCTGATTGTCAGCACCTTGAGCCATTTCTGCGAGGTCCGGCAATGCCTCAACATAATTCAGCTGCTTGGGCGTCATCGATTTTTTTGGCCGCCCCAGATCAGAGCTGAGCTGGAACCGAGGCACAAGGCCACCTGGCAGGTGCGGAGGGACCGGCAGAGCCTTCTTGCTGGAGGTCTGCGGCGGTGTGCCCTCTGAGTCCTGATGCAGGCTTTCGATGATACCTGGCGCCTGCTGGATAAGGACAGGCTTTGATGAGGGAAGTTTCTTCGAGATGTGAAGCTGGAGCATCGTTGTAGTCGAGACCGTGGCCACTGCAGAATCGCATCAGGCAGCATAAGGAGCAAGGTTCAAGGCTTAACTTTGTCACACGGTCGTTCGCCAGGTGTTTGTGTTCTCGGCCCGTGCATCCAGTGGCCGTGCCTGCCAGGATGCATCAGGCAGCCTGGACTTCCATGAGTTCCATGCGCAGCACTGGCAGTGATGAGTATCAAGGGCAGAGCGCGGTTTGCACACCTTCTGCTCGAAGTGAGCGTGTCGTCGTGCTGCGCTGTGGACTTTTCTTGAGAGGAACTTCACTTCTGCTGTTGGGTGATGTGACGGTTCGCCGTGGTCATTATTGCCATGTCAGGACGAACCTGTTGTTGACTTCTCCGAAAGACGGGCTATTTGCAGCTTTGGCCAAAGTGTTGGAGTGTTTCCTTAAAGCCAAGGTTCATTGACTTTATGAGGCCAGATCGACTTGCGAGCGTTTAAGCCTTTGCAAGAGTGTCACGCAAATCTACCGAAGAAAGAACGTCAACGCCTCTGCACGCAGGGCAATGCGAGATGGCGAAGGCATCTTTGCACTCGACCGAGCAGCCAGCCTGCATCCAGTCAGCATGACATCTGCTTCCCACATTCGGAAATTGAAAAAAGCCGGACTTGCAGCCAAGGAGCAAAAGGTGCCTAACCTTGTTAGCAAGCTCGATGACCGGACTTTGCGGTCCGTTTTGTCGTCACTTCATCGCACCGGTTTTCTAGGGCTTCTGGTCCTGGTTGTGCACAGGCTTTACGTCCAATCCTCATGGCGATCCAAGGCAGTATGGCTTGTCAAAATCTTACCTCTGGGCCTTGGACCGAGTGCCTTCTTTGCATCCAGTGTCTGCCATCAATCATTCGTCAGCGCTCTGGAGTTGTTTCATTTTTCAGCCCCAGCATGTGAAAGATCGTGGAGAGTTTTTGAATAGGGCTAGGGATGCTTGGCTTCACCTCAGCTTTCGAGGCGCAGTTACTTCAGCGATTCTGTGACTGCTTCCTCATCATGACCACCGACAATCCTCAGGAGCCATGCCTTGCTACTCGTATTCCTCTGCTCTTGCTGTTCCTCATAGCCGAATCAGTCTTCGTTCGACGGCAGGACGTGCTCAAGGTCACAACTGTTTCGGATCTGCTGCAGTGCCCTGGCGATGATAGACTGACAGACATCGGCCTCAAAGGCAGCAAAGACGAGTCTGAAAGCTGCTATATTACAATGCCATTGCTAAGTGCTAGCATTATGAAATTGCTCTTAGTATTTACTGGGGTCATAGTCAGAAGAACACAAAAAAGAGGTAAACTAAAGGTCAGACTAAAAGTGATCTCCCCGCTAAAACCGTGCGTCTTCATGTGCGGAGACTTGGCGCGTCGGCGAGCTCAGGCTGGCCAAGGAAGCGGGGGACACGTTTTGGAGCTTTTTGGAATCCGATCCGCTGAGTTCTGGGAAGTCTGATGACCTCGAGCTTCTGATCATAGATGCTCTTTGACAGTCTGAGGGTGATTTGACTTCGAAGTGTTCTTGTGAAGCATGTAAAGTGCCAAGCATGGAAGGAGAAAGGCGAGTCTTTGGCCCTTGGACAGCAAGCAGATGTTGTTTTTGAGTTGCATGTGCAGGTGCTGCTTCAACTGCATGCATTGATTGCCGAGGACGCCGTGCGATGGTAGCTGAAGAAACACTTCGGCAACCAGTGCACTCGTGACCGAGGGGGCTCTTTCATGTTTCTTTCTTGGTAAAGCTCGCACGCTGTTGTCGGCAACTGGCTGCAAGCATATGAAGTTGTCAAGCTTTTTCTTAAACACCTGCAGGTGCGAGCAAGTTCCCGTTTCTGTGGGCACCGAGCCGTTAGGAGAATTGCTCCGGAGAGGTAGGCCCGTTAATTTGGTTTCTGAAATGTGAGCTCTGTCGGCCAAGCCGCCGGTGAAGATCTCTTTAGCAGATCTTTGCTGCACTCCGTTTCTGTATCCACAAACCAGTGAGCCTATGCCTTCAATGAAAATATGACCAAGCGGCTCCAAACACATAACTCGGGAAGGTGTCACGTGCGCACCGGTAGTGTCAAGTGGCTCCAGCAGTGAGTCTAGTGACTTGGTGCATGCTAGTGCCAACAGCGATCGGAAAGTCACGGTTCCAAGGTCTGCATCGGAAGCTGTGGGCAGCTCGGGTTGTTGGAATGTGCGGTACAGAGTTGATGCCAGAAGACGCTGCACGGCGACACGTGCCATGGTAGGCGTCCCAGTAGTTCAGCCTAACGAGAGCTGACGAGACAAGGCTAATAGCTTGGCAGCAGTCGGCCGATATGCTACCGACTTCGAGGAGTGCCGCATGCTGGGAAAGTGATAGTCAGATAGTCGTCGCCAGTTGCAAACGTGTCGTGAAGGAGCTTCGCTTTCTTGGCAAGGGCGGTTTCGGATTCGTGACGAAAGCTCAATGCTGAGTCATTCTGAGCCAGGTCTAACATGGCAAGCGCTACTGCAGGTGTGCGAGCTAGCTGCGTCATTCGGTATCGGTACAACAGAGTTCTATAGTGGCGACTGTGTTATTTGCTCGCAGATTCACAGACGATGTGTGTATGTATACAGTGTATACGTGCATACATATGTTGTGGGTGCACTTTGCAGTAGAGAACGCCGTCGTGAACATTCGCACAGACTCAGGTTCATGTGTCTTCGACCTCATCCGGCGGTTCATCCATCGATATACCTGCAGATTTGTAGCTCCGACTCTCTATCTCTGTTGGATCTCTGCAACTGTCCCTTTCCATCCTCCGTGTCCCCTCTCTTCTCTGTCTCCCTCCTCTCGACTCGCTCACTCTCTGATCCGCATCCGCATGGCTCATCATTTTTCTCGGTTGCATCCGTGCTTCTGTGCTTACTTGTTCCTGCATGCATGCATGCGCATGCTTGTGCTGCATTCGCCATCATATGCCCGGGATTGCCCGGGCATGAATACGTTGGCTTCTGTCTCGGCTGTATCTTCCGTGGGCGATGTAACCCATGCGACTTGTGTGTGCATCTCTTGCTGCCTTCAAGCAGAAGGCACAGCAGTCCGGCTGCAACGACGGAGAGACTGACTTGCCATTTGAACAGCCCTGTGCAGGGGTCAGAAAGTGAACATGATACATTGCCTGGTCGCCATACAAATCAACATTCCATGCGAAGACGCCGCCGCACTCGTTCTGATGCCTGGCTTTTGCAGATTCTGCCAGCTCTAGGGCGATGGTAGACACCACGTGAAACCTGCTAGTCGCATGGGCATCATTTCGTTCCCTCAGAGATGCCTGGCCTGGCCACCGGAGGCCTGTTAAGCTCTGCATCTCCATCCCGTTTGGGGCTTCGGTTGATTGACTTTGTGGAAATGCAACGAGCCCAAGGCACGACATCGAGTCGATCGCGCGGGGCCTGGTGCTGCACTCCAAACATTCCTGTGGCAGGTATACGGTTTACGAGCAAGAACACCGGAAACGATTGAGTTTTCGGGAAAAAGTCAGGAAGAAAGGAGATTTGCTTGCATCGGGGTGTAGGCCGGCGTCAGGTCACGGAAGATGCTCAAGGCTTGGCCGGACTGGATGTTCCGAGCAAATCTGCAGCCAAGGTCAGCTCTATGCGGTCAAACGCCACGTGCCGAGTTAGGATCAAGGATGGCAGAGAGCACACAAGACGTGCGTCATGCTTGGCATGAGTGAATGTGGGAGTATACAACTTGTGGGAGCCTGTTTCGGCGCATGTGTATTGCTCTGGCCATCGTGCCTCCTGCATTCTTGAGTGTCTTCTATTGAGTTCAAACGCGTTCCGTGCGCTCGCTCCTCACGTGTTTCCAGAGGCATACCTCTTGTACAGGATGCATGATGTCGAGTGTGGAATACAAGACAAATTTCAGCGGCAAGATACTCCGATAGATAATTTTCATCATGACATCTGGAGAAGATGAATACCCTCTCCATGTGGGAGCTGGTCGAACTTCTGTTGCTTTGTAATGTGCCAATTCGAAACAAACGGATGAGCCTTTCTGTCTCTCCGGCTCTCCGGCTCTCCGGCTCTCTGTCTCTCTGTTTCTCTGTCTCTCTCGCACCCACCCACTCGCTCACTCGCTCGCTCACAGCCGTAAACATTGATCACAGATCTGTTGTGATGTGGTCTAGCGCTGCCAAGGCTTGGAGCTGCGAGGCTCTGCGATGGACCGTGAGCGACTCCTCCAAGAGTGCGCGTTGTTGCCCAGGCCAGGGGCTGAGGGGCTTCGAGCTTGTGGGAACAGTAGTATAGTAGTTATACGTTTTCCTGAATAGAACACTAATCAAACAGGTAACAATGCTGACAATAATGAAACCACACAAAAGCACCAATACTGAAGAGTTTTGTGTTTCAGGGTTTTGGCAGTGTCTTGCAACTTGCCTGGCATCAAGGAGTCCCAGCTGCAAAAGGTTTTCGGCAATGCCCATTTTGCTCGTCGCCATGAGAATGGAAGGTCTCCTTTCTCGCAACAAAGAACCATGCTAGTCACCACTGTCGGGCCCTTGTGGCCGAGGGGCCTGACAAGCCCCGTAAGATGAAGGAGAGGGAGCAAGGCCCGTGCGAAAGAGAGAGAGAGAGAGAGAGAGAGACAGACTCCCCCTCATGCCCCTGGGAAGAAGAGAGACAGAGAGAGAGAGAGAGAGAGAGGGAGAGCACCACGGTGCAAAACGGGGCCTCGCCGAAACAGTGGAGTCTCACGAAGACCGCAAGACCGGGGCGCGTTCGCGCGCGGGGGCTACTGCAGTAGCTCCTTGACCGAGTGCAAGCAAGAGAGAGAGAGGGAGAGAGACAGAGAGAGAGCGAGAGAGCTCAAGCTTGCCTGGTAGAGCGAGAGAGAGAGAGAGAGAGCTCAAACTTGCAGGCGATGTACCGCAAGGCTTAATTTGACTAGAATTTAGACTGTAGAATGTTTGTCAGGTTTCATGCGGATTGTGTGGTGACTGCACTGGGCTTCTTCGCATTTGCAGGTCAGAAGAAGCCTTTAAGTCCCCGAACAACGGGGCGCCCTGGAAGTTGGGAGTCGGTGACAGGACTCTAATGCCCTATAGAGTACGTGAGAGCGAGCCTGCGTGTGTAACAGTGTATCACCGCCATGAGAAAAAGGAAGGACGCCCGCCAGCACCTTTACTTTTATGGAATGGTCTTCCAAGGTGTCTGCGTGCCCTGGGGGGATCCTCTGACTTCAACTTCATGCCACAAACTCGTACCACCGCAATGGCATATCGCCAAAAAAGAGCCTTAGACCTGCGTTGCTACTAAAGCCTACGACTTGGTTTGATGTTTGTTTCGGTGCCGGCCTGAGCTTACGAAAAGGGGGAAGGGGGTGCCTTTGCGCGGGCTCCTGCGGAGCTCTGCCCCTGCGAAGCGAAGCGAAGAGAGAGAGAGAGAGAGAGAGAGAGAGAGAGAGAGAGAGAGAGGGCCCAAACCCCTCAGCAAGCAAGCAAGCAAGAGATGTGAAAACGGAACGGGCAGCTCCCGCGGGGGCTTGCTCTCAAGCCGGGGGAAAGAAAAGAAAAGCGATATGTGCTGCTCAAACGAGCGGGGAAAGGGGATTTCCCTTTCTCCCAGAGCAAAGCAAAGATATGCTGAAGAAGAGATCGTGAGGATTGTTTGTCCGACTGTCATGTTTTCTTCGACAAAGCATAGTATCCAGGCTGTCTGCCCTTCGCCACCCAAACTTAGGCTTACTCACTTACACATCGTCCGGTACTACCAGGCAGGTTTTGCTGGAGTGCGACCTGCTGGCGAGGGGTTTGGGCATCAAAAGAAAGCACCTTCCGATTGCTTATTTTGGTTACGCACGCCCATGTTTTTCATGGCATTGCACACATTGCCGAATCACAGCCGTTGCAGCCCTTAATCCTGCTGCTTGGATGTGGATACGGTCGGCTTGCAAACAGCGGCATAACCGCTTCACCGAAGATAGACCTGCAGAAGTACCTGCAGGAGTGCTAGATTGACGGCGGGGTCCGGTGAGTTCATTGCAGTGTCCTCACTCACGAGTCCTGGTAACAAGAGCAGCGTGAGCCCAGTTGTACAATGTCCATGAGCCATGGCGGTGAAAAGATGCGCATCAGCACCTGCCTTGGGAAGGAGGATAACGGCGAGGAATGCATCTGAAGCACGCATGTTGCAAGTATTGGACCACCAATGGGAGAGAAAGGCTTGCTGGCTCAACGCTCAACAGCAGCGTCTGGATGCGAAAGGCACTAGAGAGGGTGCGACACAGAAGAATAAGGGTGACAAGGGCGTGGTGCACAAAGAACGCGCACAGAGCCCCATGCGCCGCAGCGACTCGAAAGTGGCTTTGTCAAGACCTCTGTCTTCCGCCGCTACGCGAAACTCGGTTGAGTCCGTGGGTCCCCAGATATTCTCCGGTGCGCGACCTGGGTCGGCAATTGTCCGAAGTCCCTCTGATGGCATGCCAGCTAAGTTAGAAGAGAGAATCCCCAAGGCTGTGTCCAGGATTGCTCAAGGTTTGCAGGTGGCCTTGCTAGGTGCCAATGCTGAAGAGATGCGCAAGCAAGAGATTAAAGGAGTACCGCTGAAAAAGATCTTGTTTGAGCCGTACGAGGCAGATGTTTGCCGCATCTTTCGTCACTTCCTTCATCTGAAGGATGTTGAGGAGGACCGAATCGCTGCTAACAGGGAGATGCACCGACAGAGACTGGTGGAGTGGGGTAAGTTGGAACCAGATGAGCTCCTTCAAACCGACGACGAGGAAACCTCCAAAGATCCGCTGTCTCGAGTCTCCTGGGCCACCTTCTTCCGTTGGGTTGAGCAGGAAGCGAGCTTCGGAGTTCACCCAGAGTCACGTCGCGCCTGCTCTGCACTCTTCCGTGGGGCACGACTATGGCTTCGGGCTTGTGCAAGCAATGCCCAGCGGAGCGAGGGGCTGTCTCTGGGGCTGCTGTTGTTATGGGCCTACCCCACTGCAAAAAATCGGGTGGTTGCAGAGCTGCTGGCTTGGATCGGCGCCCACGAACTGGTGCCTTGATCTTTGCTAGCTTTGAAGGCTAAGCGGTACGGGGCCGGGAACGAATCAAGACTGTGTTCCGGAATCGCTCAGGAGAAAATTCGGCAGGAGCCGCCCAGACTCATCGATGATGATGAGCGGAAGCAGCTTGAAAGGACGGCTGGTTTCTGGTTGGGCTAAATTCCCTTAGGGTCGTTTGGAGGTGCCCCGAAGAGACGACTCAGGTTCGTGATCGTGCATGAAGTGCACGCCATAGTGTCCCAGCCAACTGCGGTCAAGAGTATCTTTTGCAGGATTTTCCAAAGCGCCTATGCGAAGGGCCGTGCTTTCGTCACTGCGGACGACATTGCGGGCGGGGATTTCCAAGACAAGCACACACAGCTTCATACATTGGTGGAGTCTTTTCAGCAATCTGGGAGGATTTCAAAGCAGCTATGCCGTTCTATTCGATTCTTTTCTAGTAACTATCGAGTAGTGTCTTGTTGTAGTGTCTTCCATTACAGCTCATTCTTGTGCATGTGTTTTGCCGGGTTCTAGTTGAGCTGAGCGCCGAGGACGCGGCCCTGGCCCGGGAAGTCTTCGGGGATGCGCCGAGCCCCGTTCCCGCTTTGCTTTGCCTTGCAGGGTTGAGGGTAAACGGCTATGAGGCTAAGGGTAAGGTCACCATCAGGGACTACTACACATAAGGGCTTAGTATAGCGGCATCTATGGGCTATAACGGGTTAGAGTTTAAGGCGCGTCGTGTTCCACGGCCACGTGGTGAATTCCTGGATTCAGGATAGATTTCTCCAAGTTCTTGGAGCACATGTGTGAATATGGATGCCAAGGGCACGTGGGCGCAAGGGCCTTAGCAAGCTGGATGACTATGTGCGGGACAGAGGTCAAAGGTAAAGGCCGGACTTGGTCGCTGTCGGCCCAGGTGTCTCAAGTCACTCGTCCAAGTGGCCTCCGCTTGACCCGCTGCCGAAGGCCTGAGTTTCGCTTCTGGGGATGCTTGGCTGCGGTCTATGGGAGACCAGTGCTGTGCGAAGTGCGACACCAGCGTGATCGTAGGCATGTTGTAGGCTGTGAGCATGACGCTTTGGGACGTAGTGGTTCTGCAATGAAGACCCTGTCCGGTTGCACTCTGCTGGTCAACAGAAGCAGGCCAGCGATTAAGCACGGCCTTGCTCTTTGCAGGGCAGTGTTCGCCTGCACGCACTATGTACTGGAGAAAGCAATCAGGGCTTGCAGGCTCCTGTGAACAAGCTCGAAAGTCTTGCACACGCTGAGCACTGGGCTATGATGATCTAAGGTTGGCTCTCGAGCTTGCCGTCTGAGGCAGAGCTGGCACAGCGTAGGATGATCGATGCCTTAGAGCTTGAAGTCAAATCCTGGAAGTCGGGTGCTGGCTACTAACATGCACATTGCAGTTGGGCCTCGAAGGAAGTTGTTGTAGTTGTGGCACAAGGGTATGCCTCGATGTCATGACGGGTGCATGCGGATGCATTTTCTGCAGGATGTTGAGGTGGGGATAACCATGTCGAGCTATCTCCGGGTTTTGCCTATGGGACTCCAAAACATCCGTCGCTTCCCTGTCGGATTTCGGAAGCAGATCCAAACAGGCAAAGCTCCTGTCGGCACTTTCTTGAAGCCTGAAGCGGGACAGTTTATGTTGAAGTACAAAGTGATACAAAGTGCTGAGACTTACCATGCACATTCATGGACTGTTTTGGTTTGTTTCGCTCTGGCTACTTGGCCCCCCCCATCTTCAGGAATTGACTATGCCGTTTCTTTGCTCTTGGACAGTGACAGCTGAGCTGAAGCACTGCGCTCGTGCGTTTGCGGTGAACCCCGTTTCGTCACCGCACCAAAGAAGCACACCGAGACAATTGAGCAATCGCTTGCAAGTTGACTAGGAAGATTATGTCGTATCCAGGATGCCCAGGACTGAGATCGGTACGTTCAAGCTGACATCAGCTTCCGCATCGTAGATGCGATGCTCGAGAGATTCGCATGAGAACGGCTCCTATGCACCCCCCCAGTACAGCTAGTCAGCGTTGGTGTTTCGGCGCAGTGCTGGCAGACACAGTCGACATATCATGCAGGCCTGGATTGAGACGGAGCAAGTTGAACCTGCTCCTCGCCAGACCCTCGGCTCCGGCAGCTATGTTGGTACTTAGTTATGGGTCGGTCTCCGACGTTCCGTGCCTTTGGAGGCCCTGCAACTGGAGTCGTGGCCTCCTCGGGCACCCCGGTCTCAGCGACTCAGCCTGGCGACGCTCGGATCCGGAGGCCCAGGCTCCCAAACGTGCGGCCAAGAAGCGAGCGGCTGCTTGGACTTCGCTTCTTTGGTCACAGTCCTTTCTGTTTTCAGTTCGGGGCGGCGGGATCCGGTGATTTGGGATGCGACAGGTAAGAACGGTGCCCAGAACTCAGATGCTCACTGCACTACATGTATTGGCCTCCGAACCCACCGGTTTGTTTTGGCAGGAAGCCGGAGGTCGCCGCGGAGAGTTCGTTCCCCGGACTCGGCAAGGTTTGCGCGATCTCTGATGTTCATGGTACAGACATTGACATGGCTCCTTACGCAAGAAGTCAGTAGAGACTGAGGAGATGACTGGCTTTCGCACAATGGCCCAATGCGCGCCAGCCACCCAGAATCTGGCCAGGTGGGGACTTATTGTCGTGACTGCGAACATAGGTGGTTGCCAAGGAAGTGCTGTTCCTATTTTGATTGGTATGCCTTTGATTGGCAGCGGTCAGAATGCATGTGATTGTCTTGCTGCTTCAGCCATACGAGATGTCCACGCAGGCTCTGGTCTTAAGGTGGTCGCCAGCTCTCAGCCCCAGCATTGCAACATTGTTGCGATTATTCCAGTTCTTGTAATGATAGTATCAGCCATCTTCTCGTCGTGGTCCTCGTCGTAAGCGTAGTGATTTTCAGTAGTAGTCGCTTAGTAGCTTAGTAGCAGTAGCAGCAGCAGAAGCAGTAGCAGTAGCAGGATTCACTAGGTCGCTCGTGAGTGGTTGTGCACGCAAAAAGCAGTAGCAGGAGCAGGAGCAGGAGCAGTGGTAACACCTGAAATGCTCGGACTTCCGCACTGAGGAGTCGGCTGATTCACACCAGCATGTGCTACCTCAGAATGTGCCCAGGCAAGGGGCCCCTCGCCACCTCCCGGTCTGCCTGGCTATTGATCAGGTGCTGTGTTTTGCCCATCACCGCTGGAGCCCTGCTTGTAGCTTTGCATTTGGATGGGCCGATGGGGGCCGGGTTCTCACAGGCTCAGTATGTTGACACCAGCGGAAAGCGAGTCTTTTCAAACATGCCCCACCCCCAAGCTGGATTTCCTGTACTCCCGTCTCCAGTCTCCCAGCCCATCTCGGCGGAGCCTCCCTCTCGCCGCGCGGCATCGCGCAGCCATGCGGCGTCTTCCCCTGGGCCGACGCGCCGTCGGCGTGGCTTTCGGCGGCCTCGGCCTGGGCGGCGTCTACGTGGCGGCGGATGAGCGGAGGCGGCGCCTGGCACTCCGGGCGGCCCAGCTGTCGAGGCGACGAAGTTCAAAGCTTTGCATTCTGCGTGGGTGAACCAGAGTGCCTTGCGCAGGATTTGGGCACCCGCTCTGTTTTCCAACAGCCCAGATCAGATCCTTGGAACGTGCAGTGAAGCACGATATGAAGCACGCATACAGCTAAGGCTGCTTGGACTGATCTTTCACGTGCATTCTGTCAGGATCGCAGTGTGCATGGACGCGTCAGGGCCGGTTTTCATCAAGCAACCTGGCTCAATCCGTCCAAGATGTACATCCTGGGACCAAGTTGTCGGCACTGACTTTCAGATCAGATCCTTCTGTGGAATGTGAAACACATGCTTCCATGGAGAGTGCTGCCTTGTTGCCTGGTTTTAGTCCTGCAGGTCATCAAGTTACCTTGGGACTGAGACTGGTTAACTGCGGGCTTGAAACCTTGTTCCTGCAAATGTTCAACCAAGTACCCTGCAATGCGGGCTCGTCCTTGCCAAGTAGGAGGGACAATTCCGTCCAACCCCGTCTGGAGACAAAGGCAAAACATGAAGCTGGAAGTGTCGGACTTGCAAGACTGTTGCAAGACAACTGAAGGCTTGGACAGTGGTTATCGTCTCGGAGAGATCTCCTCTCTGCGGAGCTGTGTGACGCAATGGGGGTTCTTCACGAGCATGCGACCTGGATGAAGTTGGAAGCACTGGGTCCGTTTGCTTTCGCCGGCCTGGCCCATGCGACACGTCAGCGCCAAAACTGATCAGGGCCTCATTGATAGAACCAGGATAAAATGTGTGCAGCCGCTTGTCTCGTATCGCACTTGGTGCTGGGCACAGGTGAGTGCTCAACCGTCGGAGCAAGATGCCGCGATCGTTGAGGCAACGATGCCAGGTGCCAAACTTCATAGAAGCTCCGCCAGCAGCTAGAAGACACTGCTGAGGGGTCCTGAGTTATACAACCACATGCAAGCGAACACAAACGTCAGCTCTTGCCCAGGAATTCTGGGAGCTGGCTGCATTGCCAGGGTTTATGAAGGAACTCTGCATGGGCACCCTGTGGCCATCAAAATCCGCCGGGACAATGTGGAGGAGTTCCTACAACTGGACTTTCAATTCCTCAGGCAATGTCTCCTGGTCTCGTGCGTGCATCATGCATAAATTGGGGGTACTTACCCAAGGCACTTTAGCCCGCGCAGGTGTGCCGCTTGTGTTGCGGAAACACTGTGGCCAAGCCTAAAGTGGCTGATGCTGCAGAGTGCGCTGAAAGACTTCAAGCACTACATGCTGAGCCAGGCAGGATTCACGAAGAATGCAGCTGAGTCGGCCCTTCCCTCCCACCCCTGTTACGAGACCTAGACTGCAAATCACTGTAGGGTCGTGGGGAGGAGCAGGAATCATGAGTCGAGTGAATCTGTCGGACAAGTGACTTCCCAAAACTGCAAAGGTCGACTTGCAGCACGAGGCCTCCAACCTCAGACGCTTCGCGGAAAATCTCCAGAACAGCGTTGCCCAGGTGCCCGAGGTCTTCGCTGCAAACGAAAAGGTCTTGATAATGGAACTTGTGGAGGGGCAGTCTTTGTCCTTATTCCTGCAGCATGAGAGGGACCCGGTGCTCCGCCACAAAGTGTGGTCCATCCTGTCTGATCAAGCCGCCAAGATGGTGTTGGTTGACAACTTCCTGCACGCAGATTTGCATCCAGGCAACATCTTGGTGACCATGAAGCATGGTAAAGAGCCGAAGCTCACATTCATCGATGCTGGCATGGCATTGGAGCTGCCGCAACTCTTGGTCGATCAGCTTCGCTCCGCTATGCGCGGCGCGCTCAACCATGACGCAGATGCGCTGGGCCAGGCTTTAGTGGATCTGCACCGTGCAGAAGGCCTATGCACGGACACCAGCCCGTCCCTCCCGCACCGCTTGGGGGTGCTCGGACTGTGTTGCGTATTCACTTGCGACGAAGCCCTTTGGAGTCAGCTCTTCAAATCGCGGGCAGACTACTTTTCGGCTCGCACCCCGGAGTACTTTCACCGGATGGCGGCCATCATGACCGACCACGAGGTGCGAGTAAGCCCCGTGCTCTGGTCGCTGCTGACCAGTTTCGCACTCGTGGAAGGACAGCAGCGGGGCCACAGACATCTTGTCTCTGCCAGATGGGGTTGGTTGGAGCGGGTCGCCGGCTTTTTTCTTTGTTTCCATATCATATATGTATGGAATTACACATATTGTTTGATGATGTCTGGTGTAGTCTGGTCGGGCAGGGGTAGGGTTGGGTTTGGTATGGTGTGGTGGGCATGCGTGTATGCATGTTTGATGAGCGAAAAGAAGAATGCATCACTTATCGGTTGTGGAAGGAGTTCATGATACACGATGATACACGGTTGTACCGGCCAAGACTCCAGACATTGCATCACTTTTGAAGTCCGACGGCCTTGAAATGCTTCTGTACTGTCCCGAAACTTTGGGTTTTGTAAGGGTCAGATTTAGGAAAAGTGCAGCACGGCTGCAGCCCGCAGTCCGCCCTTCAAACTCCATGAGCTAGCGTCTGGGGACGGCGCGTCATTTTTGCATCCCAAAGCCGGAGACTAAGCTATGTAGCGGACCTGTGACAGTAGATATGTACATGATCTCGCACGCAGACGGTCTCGGCAATGAAGAAGTGTCAGTTGCCAAGACATAGAGAGCTCAAAGAAATGATTCGGCAGTTGTGTACTATGTTGATTAGCCATGGGACACATCTCTTCAGCCGCTCTGTCTGCAAAATTGGATGGCGATCGACGTGGGGAACCTCCTCGTGGTGATCGCTGGTAACAGGGGGCTTAGATGTAAGCAAAAATGATGGGCCGTGGATTGCACTTAACACTTGTCCATGACATGTTGTGAACCCTGCAACCGGAGAAGCATGACGACGGAAGCACCAAAGCAGGTGCACAACCCCCCCTGGCTAACCCATGCCGTAAGGTGCTCGCCATTGTTGTAGGCTTTCGGATTGGTCGTCCGATGCGGAGGCGACGGGACCCACAACCTAACGGTAGTCTCCAGCTGGTTTTTCAGTTTTTGGTGCCTTGGACGGGGGGAAACCGCATGCTGCTTTGGGTGTTGGGGCCCGGATGCGTGAGCTGAACGGTTCCGCCCAAAGCAGCAGAGGCTATCGTGTCGGACTGTTTTTGGGTGGGCAGTCGGACGAAACACGTGAGTTCGGGACACATCGTGGCGGTCGCGCTGTTGCGTACTACACCCCTGAGACTCCTTCCTCATCTTTATAGCCGGTAGTCGCTAGGCTCGAACATGCTTGGCGATAGGTCCTGAAGGGATGCGTCGAGCTACGGTCCTCAGACGTAAAAGATTGCGCAGACTAGCAATACTTCGTCGAGTGCGGCGCGGACGCTCGTACAATCGACATCGGAGACAAATCCGTCGGTGGCGTATCGGAACGTTCGTCGTTGGGACAGCACGGGGGTGCCATGTGATCCGTGGACCAAGACGGTATGTCTTCTTCGACTCGCGGAGAAACGAGGGTGGGACGCCATACTGTTGGCCGACGTCTGCTTCGAAACGGATGGGGTACATACGGTGGCTTTGCCTAACGGGGGGAAATGGAAAATCATCGTGGCAGGAAAAGTGGCGGTGGCACTGGCGGCAAACCTGGCGTCCATGTGGGAGCAGCAGGGCTGTCACAAACTCATACCCACGGCGTCGAACGGACGCGCATTGTTGGTGCGCATTCCGGGCGATAATCACACGGCGGGACTGGCGTTAATCGCGGTATACGGCCCGATCTCCAGCGCTAGACAAGTGGATCGTGATGATTTTTTGGACCAAATTCGGCGAGCGAAAAGAGGCGTAGGTTCGCGAGACATACTGATCATTGGCGGGGATTTCAATGCGGACTTTGACACGCAGAGGGAGAACGGTACAAGACCACGAGTTGTAGGGCGTTGGGGTGGGGAGCGTACAAACCGCAGCGGTACGGACCTCTTAGACTTTTGCGATCAAGAGGCTCTCAGTGTAACGGATACGTTCTTTTATCAACCGATGCGCAAACGACACACATGGTGGCACCCAGCGCGAAGAACGGGACATACCATAGATCATTTTCTGATCATAGGCAAACGCAACGACGCTTCGTGGACGCTGTCAGAACGGTCCATGAGGGTAGACGGGGGAATGCGGGTGACCCGCTCCAGAGGGTGCGTTGGGGACGAGGCAACCAAGGGGGGTCGTCGGATTACTGGGATGATTATACGGATCATTTGCCCATAGAGATATGCGTGCACTTCTGGCCACAATGGACTCGAACGCGAAACACAGTAACGGATCGACATGTCCCCATGCCCAATATGCAATCCATTGTGTTATCAGGCCAGGAGGCTCAACAGAAAAAGGCTGAGTGGCACCAGAAACTAGACCAACAACTGATTGCATTGGGCGGTAACCAACGCCAACTCACATGGCGTGAGATATCTACGGCATGTGCCGATACGAGTTTACAAGTTTTCGGCCAGGTACCCAGGAAACAAAACCAACCACATCTCATAGGACATGAAAGAGAAAATACACAGTTAGACAGAGACGTAGCAGATGCGTTGGCGCATCGTCGCAGTTTTAGGGACGACGTGTTACCACGCACACCTCTCAGGCAGCAGGCGTACGATATGGCAGTTCA